GACCAAATACGACCCCTCCCAAAAATGACCAAGTACGACCCCCCCCCCTTTACAGCGTCCGTGAAACAAGAGAAATCAACTATCAAAAAATTTTTCTCTGACCAAATACGACCCCCTCCCTCGCGGTCAAATACGACCCCCCCTTGTGATGATCACAACGATGGCGTACCCTTGATGGAGCGCTGCTTACGCTGGACCCCCACGGGTTTCGCAGCTCCAATCGATGAACTAGTGCACATTTAGAAATTGCTGCGCACGCCAGCACAATGCGTCGCGCGCGACGGAGCGGCAGATTACGATTGTCTTGTCCGTCTTCCCTTTATAGGGAGACCTGTTGTGAGATGGTTCCCGGTTCTAAAAAACTTGTGGGTAAAATGATGCGCAAGGTGGCTGAATTGAGCAAGAATACCACCCCTAATTCTCGTGGGTCAACTTGACCTCCCCCTATCAGGTAAGGGGGTGACTTTATAGAATAAACGGAGCAAAATTTCAGATGTGTACTACCGCATCGAATCTACCTACGCGTATATCAAATCATCAAACCTAACAAAATCGCTGATCCTCAACGAACTAGTCGATTGAAACTCGAAAAGCTCACACTCAATGTCGAGTGGTTTGCGAATTGGAAGAATATGAACACGTCGTGTGCTACTTGTGACGTGACCATTTCCAGCTTCTTTTTCAGCTCCACCTTAATGAATATCATACACCCCTTAGAGTCAAGATGAGAAAAAAAATTATGTATAAATTGTTCATTTTTTTCGTTATATAACACTTTTCACTCACGCTCTGCCTTACCTTGTACGGTTGCACAGGTCGTTGGAGAGCTTCAGTTGGAGTTCTGAGTATTTGAGTTTACCCCACACGTAAAATCAGAAAGACTCACTGGCGCGGCTTGTCTCCGTTAATAATGGAAGCGCGAACCTCGATAGTTGTGATCGCTCCTGAAAAAAAACTACAACTCCAGCATATATTTTGTCTTTATATTCAATACACAGAATCCGGAAATTCTTTATGGAAAAGGTTTATTTCCAGGTCTTTTCCCGTGAGTTGTATGTCGTTTGGCCGCGATTTGCCTATCACGCTCCCCGCTCAAAACGTTCATGTGAATAGTGTCAGATGAGGACAACTCGCCCCATGGTTTCCAAAATTAAGTTTTTTTTCTCCTCTACAGTACATTAGATGAAGTAGCCATGGCGTGGAACCATGCACTGTAAGCCCACATCTTGATTGTTCTTGGCACTACAAATTATGAAAGCCTCATAGTCTAGTGATTCATACAAGTTATCCAAGTTGGTAGGGACTTAGCATACCTGTCAAAACACGTCAATTGCAATGGAATCGCGCCAAACGACCGCCTCCGTCTTTTCGCTCCTGGGTTAGCAATCTTCTCTACTTATTTCGTGGTTTCGTCGCGCGATTTCGATGGGATGCATTTATTGTTATTTAACTATGTAAACTGCGTATTGCTTTGCATTCTAGCTAGATTCCACCTGATCTGGAGAGGGACTCGAGCCCAAAAGACCAGCAGCAAAATTTTCGGAATGAAAGAGCTGCCAGAAATATATTCCACGCAACAATCTTTTGAGAACGTAGCTGACAAAATGTCAAAAGAAAAATGGCAGCCTCTTATGTAGGAATCGAGCCTAGAAAAACAATTGAATAAACGGAACTAACCAATTGACGAAAATCCGTGACACTCCACTGAAGTGCTCGACACATCGGGCGACGGTGCGCTTTCGGATCTATTTTCCAAATCATCCAACTCCTGCAAGAAATGGGATAATGTAGCACAAAAACAATAATTACTCGACAGGAAATTTTCCAAAAAAACCCAGTACAGTTCTTGATATTTTGGCGTATAAATACTTCGGGCACAACTCCTACGTCTTCGTCAGCAACCTAGGTCTCACTCAGATATTATGGCGTGGCTATCCTCGCGAGAGCATCGTTTTGAATGGAACCCCACGCTATTCATACTAGACTTGTTTGTTCATCCAAGGCGAAGCTCTCACGGAGGTACAGCCACAAAAACTGAATCATAATCAGTCTGCTGAAGAATACACTACACACAGAAATACTCTATGAACATCTGGAGGTTTTAGGGAGACATTTCAGTA